ATCTCACTTCTCGACACCAATATGATGTTTGTTTATTTTAAACAACAGTTTATCTATTAATAATTTATTTGAACACTTATTTATTTTAAAACAATACTATTCTAATTTATATATATTTCGAATGTCTTTGAATTGTTTACTATTCATATTCACAGTCCAATACTTTATTTTTAACTATCTATACACCACTGACTGCCTCTTTGTTCCTCCACCAATATTTATATATAATAATAATAATAATAATAATAATAATAATAATAATAATAATAATAATAATAATAATAATAATAATAATAATAATAATAATAATAATAATAATAATAATAATACATTTATTGTCCAACTTTAAAGTTTACACAAAGAGAGCAGTTACATAATTTGTAAAATATTTACAATATTTAGTACACCTAAGAGGACAAATGGCTACAACCGGTTCAGTTGTGAATCGCTTCACTCCTGATCTTCCACCAGTGCCAGAGTGATAAAAATAATTTACATTAAGATGACCGACAGAACAGGAGAAAGAAAAAGGAAGAAAAGAAAAGAGGAAAATTCTGGTGGATTCGAGAATAATCTCCGCCAAAACTAGAAACATTATCACGTTCTACATGGAAAGTTCTTGAAATTGCCTTCGCCATAGTCGTCACATATGTTTGGCCTTAAGGGGTTTAATTATGTATGATAATCGGACAAGTTGAGCCTCAAAGGCCAAATAAGAGAAGGACTTGGAGGATTAGAAAATGACTGAATAATGAAATGGCTCACACTACAATATATCCAATATTTTTTTAATTTTATTGATTTCCTATTCTTCTTTTTCTTTTATATCGACAATAAGGAAATAGGAAGTTGTACAACATTTTTAAATTTTTCTTTATTAAATTGATTACTAATTAACATACACATTTCTAGTTTATTTTGTTATTAATATGTCAATAGATATTTATTTTTTACGAGTTAGGTTTTAAAGAGTTTCATATAATAGAAATGGGAATTACAAGTTATTATTTTGCAGCACCTTAATTAAAGAAAAGTGCATGCATATTCCTTATTTGACTAAACTTTTAATACCAGTAACAGTCATAAAGTGTTCTTTTTAGTACTAGGTACTTTCCCACTCCCACTCTGTGATTATAATTTAGTATTAATAAAATTTTATTTTAAATATATCGCAAATGAAAACAAACAATGACTACGTACTGTCACAATCATTCAGTTAATTTTAGCTTCATCAACTGAAAAATACGTCTGTATCTATTTTTTTTACAATAATAGTAATTTATTGCAGTCTATTAATCAAAACAAAGTAAAAAAATTACTATTTTACATCATTTTTATAGTGTACGAGTACAAGATAATAATTAAAAAGGGGAAATATTATGTATTGTTTCCAACAAAATTGGAAATATTGTGCAAATGGAATTTGAAAAAATAAGTGTTAATTTGACATTTTAATGTTACTTCTATTTACAGAAGGGAAGGTATTAAAAAAATTAATAACTGCGACATTTTAAATACCTAATTAATTAAAACATTCCGAAGGTAAATACTTATTTTCTTACCATTCCTGAACAATCTGGCAAACCGGAGGTTTGTATACAATTTGCATTTTTAATTTCCAACGAACAAGTCACTGAGGCACTAATGAAATCAAATCATAATATAATCAATAATAATATCGAAATTTATGTTCGTTGATATAATGACCTATTCCTATTGTGACAGGAAACATTGTATTTTTGTAATAAAATAGTTATACATTTAGCATTAGTTATTAAATATAATTGTAGTGATATTTTATTTGTTTGTTTTATGATGATGATAATAATAATAATAATAAAACTTTATTCACACATAAAAAATAGAATTACATGAAAAAATTTCAAACACATAAATAATATTTGGAATAATGTATTTAACGATAAGTACTACTGTACTTGTTTCGCTGTAATGTAATATAAATTAATATACGATTTACGATTTGGGGATAATTTAAATCAAAAAGAACGAGAGAAAAAATAATATACAGGGTGGCTCACGCTCAACGGGACGGAGCTTTATGGGAAAACGACCAAAGATATAAAAAATTCGTTTGGGAGGAATACGTAGGTTACAGACAGCTACAATTTAAAATTTGTTAGATGTATACAGGATGTTCCACATAAGAAAAAAAAAATTAGTTCATTAAAAATTATTCAAACAAAAGTAAACAATTAATTTCTGAGAGACTTTTTTTCGTTAAAAATTCAAATAAATCGAAAACTAATAATAATAGTAATAGGGAACCTTTAGTTAACTGACATTATTTTTGATGTAGTTTTTAATTCTAAAATAAAAAACAGGGTGTTCCATTAAAAATAATATAACTTTGTATATTTTCTCTTATGTGGGACATCCTGTATACATCTAACAAATTTTAAATTGTAGCCGTCTGTAACTTACGTATTCCTCCTTATATCTTTGGTCGTTTTCCCATAAAGCTCCGTCCCGTTGAGCGTGAGCCACCCTGTATATTAGTCTGTCGTGACTTGGTATAGCTTGGTAAAGCGTGGTAACCGTGACGATAGAGCATTTTTATATAATCAAGTCCAAATTTTGTGACTATTTCTAAAAAAAAAAGTCCTTAGCTTATTTTCCTAAAACGAGTCGAACAGTTTTATATAATCAAGTCCTTTTTTTCTGAACATTTCTAAAAAAAAGGTCCTCCACTAATTTTTCGTACAAACGAGGGTCTTTTACCAGGTCTATTTTTGTATAAATCCGATTTCTCTGCGGCTTTTAGAAAGCATGGAATTTGCATAAAAAGCGTGCAGCGTACAGGCAAGTCAAAAAGCGTGACGTCTGGCAACCCTATATATATATATATATATATATATATATATATATATATATATATATATAATAATATATATATATATATATATATATATATATATATATATATGGGTTTTTCTAATTCATATAGTCAAGTCGGTTTATGTGGAAAACAATACGACAGGAACAATATTATCCTTATTATTATCAACGGGTACTAGCATTACAACCTGAAGATCATCCTAGAAGAGTTGAATTTTGCCAGTGGTTTTTACAAAAGATAAACAGAAATGAAGATTTTACGAAAATAATTTTAGTTGCAGACGAATCCACATTTACACGAAATGGGATATTCAATTTTCACAACAATCATGTTTGGGCAGTAGAAAATAAGCATGCCGTAAGAAGATCTAATTTCCAACATATATTTTCATTAAATGTTTAGGCTGGTGTAGTAAATGGCATGCATATTGGACCATACTTTTTTCCACCTCGGCTAACCGGTGACATTTATTTAGAATTTCTTTGACACCATCTGCCAGAATTATTAGAAGATGTTCCACTAAATGTTAGGAAGGATATGTGGTTTCTACATCACGGAGCTCCACCGCATTTCAGAAGAGGAGTTCGTGAATATTTGAATGAATAGTTTCCGAATAGATGGATAGGGAGGAATGGACCCGTTTCTTGGCCTGCACGCTCCCCGGACCTAACGCCTTGTGTTTTTTTTCTGCGGGGTTATTTAAAACAGTTGGTGTATCATGATGGAGAAGTAAATACTGTGGAAGAACTTCAAGACCGCATTGTAAATGCTTGTGATGTTATTCGCGGACATCCGGATTTTATTTTTGAGGCCTGTCATGAGTCGTTGGTACGCCGAGCAAGACTATGCATTAATCGGACAAATGGTGACAATTTTAAACAATTTTTGTAAAAATTGAATACATTTTAACGATAATGAATGTTTTTAATTTAAAAAAACCTATAACTCTCTTATTATGCAACTTTTATTTAGGTGATTTTTGGTATATCGACTTCTTTTGACGAGTTCTACAAGCTGTTAAAATAAATGACAACTTTGAAAACACCCTCTATATATTGATATGATATTTTAATTCAAAATTAAAAGTATTACATGTTTGTGGTTTTCAAATTTATAATTTGATAATCAACGTTTGATGGGTAAGGTCGGTCCTGAAAAAATAAATTTGTAAAAAGAAATCAGGATGTCGACTATAAATTGTCAGATAGAATTATGAGAATTGTCAGATATTTTTAGAGGGTTGTCAAAAAAGGGGTTTATTGGATGGAAATATAATAATAGTTGGATTTGTTGAATGGAAATAAATACATGTTATACAAAAGGACATGTGCTTGATTATTTTGGTTGAAGCAGGAACAGAATAAATATTAAAGGGAAGTAAGGTAGGTACATTTTATTAAAAATATTCATGAAAGAAGTACTTATCCAGTAGAGTACTACAGAAGAAGTAATTTAGTAAGCAGTTGAATATAAATAACATTTAATTAGAAAAGTTACATAGTAGACAAAGCAGTGAGGTACAATTGGGATACCAAGAGAGCCGTCAAATCCAAAAAGAAGAAAGAAAATCTTTTTGTATAATTAGTGAACTAATTATATTGTTTGATTTGTTTTTAGTTTCAAAATTAATGTAAATTCACCAAACGTTGAGGGAATTTTCGAGTAAATCAGTTAAACTTGGAGGTAAGAATTTTTCAATTCATTAAGATCCAAATCATTATATTTGTTTTGAACCCACGGACCCTGAGATTAAGCAGTAAAAGTCGAGTTACCGGGTGAGTTAAATTTTTTTTTTAATATATTGTAAAATTGATTGGCCATAACTAAGGCACGGAAAAAATGCAATTTGCATTTTTTTGCATTTTCTGCATTTTTTTTACTTTTTTAAAAAAATGCATTTTTTTCCTATAAGAGTTTTTTTTGCTTATTTCTCAAGAATTTTAAAATTTTGTTAGATACAACCAACATAAAGGATTTATTTCGGACTTTTTTTAGGTACCTGCAATAAAGTTATATAATTCCCAAGATAATCCTCCTAACCATAACATTTTCTTATCAGGCAAAATTAGGGAAACCCAAAGCAGTTAAAATAAACTACTTGGGATTCCAGGTACTTGTTTGTTTGGTATTAAACCTTTGGTCTATAAAGAGAAAAATTTATAAATAAATATGATTTTAGTTCTATTTAGAAAGTGCTACCCTTGCCTTGCGTAAATTGTGTGTTTCGTTTAGTAATTTGTTAAAGTGTTAAGAATTCAGAACTTATACGTTAGAAGTGTTGGAAGTCCAATTTGTTCTCAAGTAAAATGCCTTTTAATACAGCGTGGATTAAAGGTTACCGAGATTTTACATGGGATGGAGACAAACTTTTCTGTACAGTTTGTTCAAAAATTGTAAGTATTCTGTTTTACTAAGTATATTTTTTTATTTAGAAATAAATAAGTATAAGGTATCTGAAATAGTACCAAAGTGTTTCTTTTAGAATAATATATTGTTTTGTAAGGCGAAACAGAGCTTTCTCATCTGAGTCTTATTTGATGGCTGAGCGATGCCAGCAAAGTACAAGACAAACTAATTTTTCTATATAACATTTGAGCAACATCATAATCAAATTTTTAATTATTTTTTTCCTTGCTATTACAGATTCATGCTGATAAAAAATTCATTGTGGATCAGCATGCCAAATGCTCAAAGCATATTCTTAATATGCAGAAATCGGAGGGAGGTACATCACAGCAAACTCTAAAAACTTGCCTTAAACAAAGTGCAAAACACACCGTTCAACAAAAGCAGTTCAATGAGGAGTTGTGCAAAGCAATGATTACCAGCAATATACCGTTGGCAAAATTAAACAATCCCAACCTAAGGCAATTTCTAGGCAAGTTCTGTAATATAAATATCCCCGATGAATCGACCATACGCAAAGGAAGTGTCGATTCGATTTTTAAAAAAACTTTAACTAATATAAAAAAAGTTGTTAGTTCAAATTATTTTTATATTATAGTAGATGAAACCACAGATTCGTGCGGTAGATACATTGCACATGCGTTAATTGGCGTGTTAGAGGAAGCGACCCCTGGCAGATCTTATCTTTTTGCGTCAAAAAAACTTGAAAAAGCGAATAATTTAACAATTACCAGATTTGTTCAAGACTCTTTAACCAATTTCTTCTTACCTGATGCAATCACAGGGGAAACATTTATCTTATTTTTATCTGATGCTGCACCTTACATGGTGAAAGCAGGACAAAATTTAAAAAAATTTTATTCTGACATGTTACATGTAACCTGTTTAGCTCATGAAATTAATAGAGTAGCAGAATGTATAAGAGAGGCATTTCCTTTGGTAAATGACATGATTAACTTTGTAAAAAAACTATTTTTAAAAGCCCCAATACGTATTCAGTTGTACAAAGAAAAATGCCCAAATATTTCCTTACCCCCACAACCAGTTATAACACGTTGGGGTACATGGCTTGATGCAGCTATGTTTTATGCCGACAATTACGAAACAGTTAAAAGTGTAATAGACGATCTGACAGACTCCTCTTCCTCCGCTCTTATGAGTTCAAAAAAACTTTTTAAAAATCCTCAAATAAAAAAAGACCTAATTTTTTTAAAAACCAATTATTTTCAAAGTGTTATTTTCTAAGTAAAAAGATACAGTTGTAATAATTATACAAATAAGTTTAGCAAACTTAATAATATGCTTAATTTCTTGCATTTTTCTCTAAAATTTTTGCATTTTTTTGCATTTTTTGGTAAATTTTTGAGCATTTTTTTGTGTTTTTTGTTTACATTTTTTCCGTGCCCTAGTCATAACAAAATTTTTATATTTTATCAAAATTATCTACATAATTTATAATAAAACTAAATATTTTCATATCAATATATATATATATATATATATATATATATATATATATATATATATATATATATATATATATATATATATATATATATATATATATATATATATATATATATATATATAAATATATATATATAAATCTTTCAAAATATAATTTATTAATTCCAAAGGACATTTTTACTTTCCTTTTGGTATTATTTCAGAGCTGTCTTTTCATAACATGACACTACCTACATTTAGTTATCTCAGTGTAGCATTTGCCTTTATGATAAGAAGGAAGGAAGTGGTAGCATCTCATTAAATTAAAATAATTAAAATCTAAAGATAGGAAGAATAATTTTATATTTCCATTAATACTGATATGAATAATGCCTTTAAGGATTATCAAGACTAAAAGGGCCAGTAAAACTCTTTAAGTAAAGTAATAATTTATTATACGTTATATTATATGTATAAGGATACATAAATTTTGTAATAAACTCGATAGAGCGTATTATATGGGAATATAATTTGTATGTAGTTGACCAGAAAGTACCAGAGCTGATTAACCCTATACAATACCCTAACATTTCATCCCATGTTGAACTGACTTGTGAAGAACTATGTGGTAAACCAAATAATGTAAAGGGTCCCTACTCTAATTCTGTATATTCGCACTCCAGCTCTGGAAAATTAAGGATATTCGGGATCCGTCGGAAATAGTGCGTAGTTAATTCAGTCTCTGCGAAGGTACCTACATTTTAATTGCAAGTTAACCGGAATTACTTCAGCAGGCAAAATCACGGTAGAATCCTTTTGTACAATTGCGTTAGCTTTAAAGAGAAAAACAATCGTTTCTAGTGTTATTGAGTAAAAACATTGACAAACGAAACAAACTGTGTCCTCAGAAAAATACAAATATTTATCAATTGAAGAGAAACTCCAGTGGGATTGATATCAACAAATTTTTTCAATTAAATACTGGACATTGACGATTTTGATAAAGCAGTTAATTATTTTTACAATAATGTTTTATTCCATTTTGAGTTAGATTTTCAACTTCGTAAATACCCTATGGGTAGGAATAATAGAACAAGGGTTGTTCAGGATGTTATTTCTTGGAGACAAAATTTAAAATATTTACATTTTCTAAAGAAATCAAATCATTATCTTTTACTTATAATGATGTCAAGAAAAGGCATGAAAGTTTAATAACTTCTAAAAGAAGATCGCATTAACACTTTTGGTAACATTACTCGGGAGTTCTAAAATTTAGTCAAGGAACTTTCTAATCTAAGAAAAATAAATAAATATAAAATGGACGTTTTTAGTGGAATTCAAAAATATTTTTTTCTACAAGCTAGCACAAAATCTAATCTAAAAATATTTTTTTGAAATTTTTCTCTTTTCAAATTTTCCTACAATTTTTTTTTAAAATTAAAAAAATCAATCAAATTTGAAACGCGCGCCACAATAATTTTTTAGCATCGTCATAATGAAGCCTAAAATCTGTTTGGCCAATTCAGAACCTTTTACACAATATTCGATATATTTTTACCTTGTTGCCACTTCCTATAAAGAATTATTGAAATTCCGGATAACTGACAATTTAAAGGTTAAGATCGTATAATTTAATACAAAAACATATATATTAAAACTAAAAGAATAATCTCAATAAACTTTCTTCTTATTATGTTATGTAATATACTATTAATAATTGCTACATTGACTTATGGAAATGTAAATTTAAATAAAAAATAAAACTTTTAAAAATTACTACTGGACAAACACCAGTTTTTTATTAATTAAATATCTTTATCTCTATTTGCAATAACCTCCTTTCCATCAATTATTAATCATTTCTCTATGAGGTAACAAGATTTACTGCATGTAACTAACATTTGCATTCAATCGATAGAACAATATCATATTTCTGGCATAAGTTTTGTGTCTCTAAATTATATTATTATATTATAAACTAACGTTTTCTTTTCGAGAATTATTTTTCTTATCTTCTCGTTGCACAACGTTTATATGATAAAGATAACTAACTATGTCGATGTCTATCGGTAAAAAACAAATTAGTATTTAAAAAGAGATGAAGGGACGATATCAATTTCAAATTACCTGTTTTTCCTTTTAATGAATATTTATAAATTCATCAAAGCTGTTCTGATTTTCATTTTCTACACTAATAAACTCGTTAATAATTGCCTTGAAAATGCCAGCAAGTTCTATTTTTTTCATTTTTATTATTAAATATATATGAGTAAGTAGGTGCATTTTAGATACTGGAGCCGGGAAATGTCAATAACGATTTAGGATCATCATGAAGTTTAATCGCAGGATGTAATAAAATATCCAATCATAAATTACCGGACGTTCGACGAAACAAAAGAATAACAACGCTTAATAAATCCAAGGCACCGTCGGTACTCATAAATGCCGAACTATACTAGAACAAAATATTGGAGAGGGTGAGTCATATACGTGATCAACAGTTTTGTTTCTAAATAAAAATTTCTACGGAAAGTAACAGTCAGCAGAGGCCACGCGCTGCGTATCAAAGAATTATTTATTGTTAACCAAATTTATTAAATTGCTTTGTCTTTATTTAAACAAAGACGATGCGTTAAATATACCTACATAGCCTAATAATATTAATAGAATTATTTCCTTTGGAAACTCTAAATACGATAAATAGCCTCCACTTTTAAACATAATTTTTTTTTGAATTTAAGAAAAAATATGGACATGTGTAACGTGATACTTGATATTTTATCTATTTGTTATAGTGTGTTTAAGCTCTATTGATTTTGGGCGTGGGTCAGGTCATTAAATAACTCGAATTACTTTGAAAAAGAAGTTGGGCACCACTATATTAAAAACTTACTATACTTGACTTTAGATTAGTGATAAAAATATAGAAAATCACTAACCACTAACAAATTATATTTAAACCAAGTTTTAGATAAGGCAGCAGCAAATTCTAATTCACGTAGTTTTACTTAATTCAAATTTAAGATGATTTATTTAAAAGCACACTTATCTTTGTACAGGAGGTAGTAATAGAAGGAATGTGATATTTATGGTATGCTACAGGACTTCTTTAAAGGAATTCGGGATCCTTATTCTTAATTCTGGACTTGCGTGCGTGCGTGCGTGCGTTTTAATTCTATATTCTAATTCTAAAATGGACCATATTTGAGATATTTGAGAAAATGTTTAAATTTCGAATTTTGAAGAAAACTCAAAAGCGGGTAAAGAAAAAAACATTAAATTTTAAACTTAAGTTTTATTTCGGCCTGACGTGAAATGATTAGATTTTGGACAAAGTCGGAACATCTGGGGGGTACTTTATGGGGAGCCGTTTTTATATTTTATGGAATATATCTGTTATTTATTTTTGGAGAAGAAAGTTGTTTAAATAAAAGTTACTTCTAATATTATGGACCGCAATGGAAAAATTGTAGGAAAAGTGCTAAATTTAAATTTTTTTGTATTTTCGTTTTTAATGAATATCTATAGAAAATTGTTTCGAGGTAATTGTATGTGGAAAATGTATATATTTAGTTTATCCTCTAAACATTTATAGAGGTGCTGCAATAGGTTGTATAAAATAACTGAAAAAAGCCTATAATAACTAGATAGGAAAGTCATGTGTTGGACACATCAGATTTTTTTCTTAATAAAGCTGTTGTTGCAAAATTAAGAAAAAACGATGAAATTCCCTTAATAAGTTGCAAAACTTTACGAAAAAATGTATGAGGCCTAAAATTTCATTTGGTTATACGGTACAGGAAATTTAGTTTCAATTAGGAGGTCAGATATAGTATCCTAGCGACGGCGTTATATACGAAGTATTAAGAGTATAGAGTAAAAAATATCTATCTATTTCGATGAAACGTAAGTGAATGCTGGACACAAGGTGTCTTAAATATGGCAAAGATACTTCTGTTAGGAATAATTGATAAGCTTTTGTAAAGGAATTTTCTACAGGTTTGAAAGCACCATCAGGTTAAGGACATCGTCCAATTATTACCCATACCGAAAGTAACTTTTTGAGAAACAATAGCTTTTGAAGACATACAGCGCGTGATATCCATGTTCGAGTTTGTTTTTATAAGTGAAACCAGTGAAAAATGTTAAGTCTCATTAGTAGTAAGGACGAAAGCGGTCCAAGTTTGACTTTCTTCTTAGGAACTAAATCAAGTTAATGTATTATTCACCTTTTGATATAATGCAATGCCTGTTCCGGTATTAGTAAAGGAAGTAATTGTTTTTAAGAAGGAATTGGTCGCTCATTGTTTCTGTGACACGGTGTTTGAGAATTTCTCTTTTTCCTTTATAATTTACTTTTAAATTGGTTACATTTAAGAATAGAAATATTTTTCGTTTAGTAATTGCCATCTGGTTATTATTTCGCCTCGTTCTAGAGAACTAGGTACTGCAAAGAGCTTTGATTTTGCTTCCTAAGTGCAGAATTAAATGGCGTTACCATTTTTACTCATTTACTACCTATTCGTTCTTAACCACCTTCCATTCATACGAGTTACACAGATGAGGCAGACCTTATAAGAGACTGAAGTCGAGATCTTTTAATGCTTGCTGATGAGTTCTAATAAGGACAAAACCGGTCCAAGAATTGTTAAAGTTAGCATTCCGAAGTGTGTAGTCTCACAACTAGATTTTTGGTTTCTATAGTATTTTTTTTGAAATCATTGATTGATATAGATTTATTGATTGATTATATTTTAATTTACTGTCACCATTAGAGATTGATAATAAAAGTTATTCTA